CCAACAATCCCCCACATGAATGAAAATTGATTTTCGGGACGTGGAAAAACGATATGAATGTACTCAACAGTCGATTCCTGCATAACATAGGTAGGTGTTAATACCCTTTGAACCTTGTCGATATGTTTACTCTACTGGCTGTTTGGTAGAACTTGATGCCTTTGAACCGACTACCGTTTGTGTAGACGGTGACATATCCTACATAGGAACCTTCCAACATTTGTTCTGTTCTCATGGGTGTGCCCGTTTTGGTCATGAGTCACATTTCCTGGTTCTGCAAGAGTTTCTAAAGAATTGAGCCCAATCAATTCTCCTCTGAAGCGACTCCACTTCTCTCTCACATAAGTAATTCTTTTCCGAGTATTCCACATACTCACACATGTCAATCTACATTCGAATTATTAAAGCATCAACGTGCTAACCTCGTGCGGGAGTCACTATTCTAACGAGGAGTGGTAGGGAGTTCGAAACCACCACAGTGACACGCTTCGTTCCACAATTTAGTTGTCCCATTGAACCTAGGTGCCAACTAGGTTGGGTATCCACTATAGAACTTTATTCCAAGAGCTTTAGACTCATTCCTTGTGTCAACTTCTCTACAACTTCTTTGCTCAACCCTTTGGTTAGCGGATCTGCTATATTATCCTAGATTTGACCTTACGTAGTCGACAGAGATAACACTAGTTGTACTGTGAGAAGCTGTTTAATAGTATTATGTCTACAACGTATATGTCTAGACTTACCATTATACATATTACTCTGTACCCTTCCAATTGCGGCTTGACTATCGCAATGCACACAAATTGGAGGTACATGTTTATCCCAACAAGGAATATCCTCAACAAAGTGGTGTAGCCATTCAGCCTCTTCACAACATTTGTCTAAGGCAATTAGCTCAGATTTCATCGTAGATCTGGCTATCACGGTTTGTTTTGAGGATTTCCATGAAATGGCTGCACCGGCTAATGTGAACACGTAGCCACTCGTGGACTTAGAGTCCTTAATATCCAATATCCCGTTAGCATCGCTATATCCTTCAAGTACAACATGATATCTCGTATAGTGCAGTTCCCAGTCACGAGTATACCTCAAGTATCTCATAACTCTCACTATTGCCTTCCAGTGTGCATCACTGGGGTTACTCGTATATCTACCGAGTTTGTTAACCGCAAAGGCAATATCTGACCTGGTACAACTCATTAGATACATCAAACTTCCAATAATCCTAGCTTATTCTATTTGAGAGATACACTTTCTGCGATTTTTGGACAGATGTACGTTAGTACCTAACAGTGTCCTAGCCACTTGATAATCATTCTTGTTAAACTTTGCAAGGATTTTATCAATATAATGAGATTGGTTTAATACGAGACCATCCCGTCTGATCTTCTATTATTATTATTAATTTTTTTTTTGTTGAATGTTATTATTATTATTATTATTATTATTATTATTATTATTATTATTATTTTAACTAAGTTCATAGGTTTTTGTCATTAATTAGATTAGGCATTCCACACTTATCACTTGATCAATTTATTGCATGTTTTTTGTTGCTTTGCCATTTTCTCCATAAACAACCTCCTGTGTCTGTTCCCCTTTGGGTCTGCAATCTTTCTGTATGCCATTTCTATTACAACACCTACTCACGGACTCACCATTGCTACATTTATCCAAACGCACTCACCTTTTCCGTCCACAATTACGTCTCTTTTTTGAGATTCTTAAATTTAATTTTAATTTAATGAACATTATTCAATATTATTTTTGGTTTATTTCATCTTATTCAATTCATTATTGCGTAACATAACCTTAAGTTTTAATCCATGAGAATATGAGATCATGTTAAAGCTAACAAAGTTGAACATTTCGATAGTTGTATTAAATTATACTATCTAACTTTACTAAAATAGAATTGGACATAGTCTCTTAGACTGAACTTTATATAAATCAAAATTAGGATCTAGCTAGTCCGTGTTAAACCTCGAATTGAAAGATCTTCACATGCCAGACTTTATTGTTGTACGGTTGTACCCTATACTATTGACAATAAAGTTCCATACCCTTAACGGGGTAAGGATAGTGAGAGAGTAGCGTTCAATATTCATATCTCTCCTTCAAACATCATCAGTAGTTGACTCATAAAATAATTTTCATAAGTTTTCTCCCACCATCTTTCACTTAATTATCCAACAATGTGTAATTAGTTGAGTGGACTTGTCATATGCCAAGTAGCTTTCTTATTATCCCTTTTATTTATTTATCATTTGTAATTAGTTGAGTGGACTTATCATATGCCAAGTAGCTTTCTTATTATCCCTTTTATTTATTTATCATTTGTAGCGCAATAGAGCGCGGTTTTGCAAGGGCCTATGCATCGTGCACCAAGGCGCACAATGCATTGTGCACCTTAATCAAAACGACGTCGTTTTGTATTTGTTGTTATTTTTTTTTTTTTAGAAATTTCGTTTCCTGTTTCTGTCGTTAACTTCTAAAAAGAAAAAAAAAATCATCTGTTTCGAATGTATAGAATTGTATAGTAGAATACATATAAACTCATAACATAATAGTATAATACACATAATCTAACATAATACGTAATACACATAAACTTTTAACAGAATACACATAAACTCTTAACGTAAAAAAAGACGTCGTTTTGAGGAGGACGCACAATGCATTGTGCACCGTGAACGACTCCTTACACCGTTTGTCAATATAAATGTATTATTACTTGTCTCTTATCACTTTTTCCTGAACTACCTAGTTTTATGAAAGTTAAGGCTAAAACATAACAAAATTATTTGTCAAGAACTAATTTTGTAAAATCACTATTTAAAATTTTAGATACAATTGTGAAACAACAATTTTCTTTTCTTTTTTTTTTTTTTTTTTTTACTGGGGTAGTTCATTTTACTTATATTTTAACAACGCTTTGAAGTTTGAAGAGACTTTGATGGAAACGATATACGATTGCAATTGGGTGAGGGCAAATGATTGAATTCTCTGTTTTTAACCTTATATATATTTTCCCCCACCCAAATTAAGACATTGGGAATTTGCAAAATCAAGATCCCTCACGTAGTCACGTTATACTCCCTCCTGTCAGCCCAGTTGGTCATTACATTTTCCATTGCAGAAGCAAGTTTTGTATTCTTTTGTTATTTTATTTTACTTCTTTATTATTTTTTGGAAAGGAGGTTGTAAGTCCGCCAAAAACTCTTTGGGAAATGCTTTTCCGTCAATATTATAAGAAAAGACAAAATAGATTGTAATTTGGACAAGATTATAGGGTGTTTGGTAGATAGTTGTTAAGTTGATTGGGTTAGTAGCTAGGCTTGCCTAGTTGATTGTAGAAAAGTATTTGATAAATTAGCTGTTAGCTGATTACAAACAAAATGACTTTAATTTCTCAAAAAGCTGATCAAAAAAGCTGTTTTGAGCAGCTTTTTGAATTTTTACATTTTGAAGCAATAAGCCGCTACAAAAAGCTAATTACACAGTTAGGGGAAGTCCGAAGTTGTTCAATAGCCCTTGTCTTCGATTTTGCCATTCTTGTTGTTCCTAAACTTTACCCATATAACCAACTGAACTGTCCACACGGTTTTGCCATTCTTGGTGGAGGGCATTATGGGTGTTCCACGGTTGACAGTAGTTCCTAGTAGTGATTAGTTAATTTGGCTATTTTGGTAATCTCCCCCTCCTACTTATTAGTACAAAATTAATTTTTGAATAATAAATATAGTATAAAGTAGGGAATGCAACTACCTTAAAATTTATGGGAGATTATTTTGTCACCTTTGAGGTCTTACTTGACATGAATAAGGTTACTTTCGAAGGCTTGGAAAATTTGTAGTGATACCCAAAATAAAATAAAATAAAATATAAAGCAACTATAAGATGCATTGTATGTGATAATGTCACATCATTATATGAAATGTCTAGTATGAAATTTGGTCAGATTAAAACTTGTTTTGCAATTTTTGAGATGATGTCCCTCTGGGCAATTTTGATGGTCCACCAATTGCCCTGGTATGTAAAGTGGTCATTTTAACTCCATCATATCAGGGTTCCAGTGTTGGAGGTTGCGAACAGACTTTAATTTATTTATTTTTAATATAGGGGTGACATAATTGATTAAAATAATTACATAATGAATATTCTATGATATAATATTATTTGTCTTTAAAAAAATATTAGTCATCATTGCTTTTTTTTTTTTTTTTTTTTTTTTTTTTACAACCATAGTAAAATAAAAAATAAAAAATTAACTTGTATTTTTTGTCAGAAATACAAAAATCAACCAAAAAATGGTATAATTTTACCTTCGAGCAAAAATTGTTGAGTTTCTTTTAAAAATTCAAAAGTCTGGGTCTCTACGAAAAACCATACACTTTGTGAGTTTCTCACAAAGACATAGATTTTCTAGGTAATGGAAAAACTTTAATGGATAAATGTGTGTAACTATTTGTAATGATAACATGAATATTTTATTTATTTTATTGTACATTTCCAAAAAAAAAAAAAAAAAAAAATTTCAGTTTACTTCTTTTCTATTTTATTTTTTTCCCTATAAATTGTTAACATCACTAAATCTAATACGGAGTAGTTTATATATTGTGCTTACTTGGTTATAAAATTACAATTTTTCGATCCTATATTGATTTTATATGTATTGATTATTTCAATTGTTGTTATATTCTTATAATTTTAATATATATGGAGTACTCTTTTTAAATTTTTCAAACAGTTGGATATATATTTAGTTAAATCGCTCAACTGCTCTGCGCTCAAGCATCGTTTTTGAATAATAAGATGTACGGAGTAATAAAATTGATTAAATTATAATAATCCATGAAATAAAAATATGATTAATTAAAAGTAAGTGATAAATAATTAAATAGTAAGATAGTTTTTGAAACTTTTTTTTTTTTTTTTTTTTTTTTTTTTTGCCTGTGAGGGACACCTATAAAATCCCAAGTTTTGTTGTAGCTGTTTCCCCATGAGCGGCCTTTGTCCTTTCCTTTATCACAACTCTCTCTCTCTTTCTCTCTTCCATTTCCTCTCTCTCTCTATATCTCTATACTTCACTCTCTCATATCACTCTTCTTCTTCTTCAACGGCTCTGATCTCTTTCATTTCATGCAATGGCCATAGATTGTGTGATCACAAGAGCTAGTAATAAAACGGCCATGGCGGCTCACCAAGAATCATCCCCTCAGAGCCCACTGGTTTTCGACCCCTCCGTGTTTCAGCGCGACGCCAATATTCCCGTCCAGTTCGTGTGGCCGGACGAGGAGAAGCCCGGCGGCGCCAGCCCGCCGGAGTTCCCCGTCTCCGTCGTGGACCTGCGGGGATTCTTGTCTGACGACCCGCGCGCCACCGCGGAGGCGGCCCGCGTCGTCGGCGAGGCGTGCCGGAGCCACGGCTTCTTTCTGGTGGTCAACCACGGCGTTGACGCCGGCCTCATCGCCGACGCGCACCGCTACATGGACCTCTTCTTCCGGCTGCCGCCGTCGCAGAAGCAGAAGGCGCAGAGGAAACTCGGCGAGCATTGCGGCTACGCCAGTAGCTTCACCGGCAGGTTCTGTTCCAAGCTGCCGTGGAAGGAAACTCTCTCTTTTGACTACTCTCCTCAAGAATATTGCAAAGCCAATATGGTTCAACAATATTTCCATAACACTTTGGGTCAAGAGTTTTCTCACCTCGGGTACGTTACCAAAAACTATAGCTAATCACGAATGCAGAACTTTATTTTCTTATAAACCGTCATTACATTTTCTAAATGTTGGGTACTGAATGCCTTTACTGTCCAACAATCCCCTAGTTATCTGGTGCTAGACTTAACTTTACTGACCTCTACCCAACAATTTGGTACCAAAATCAGCGCTTACCATTATGTTAAAAGGTTATAGTCAGTAACGAAGGTGCAAAATAATAGCTAATAATGCTTAATTGTGTTTGCAGGAAGATTTATCAAGAGTATTGTAATGCGATGAGTGAGCTATCACTAGAGATTGTGGAGCTCTTGGGGATGAGTCTTGGGATAAACCAAAAACATTTCAAAGATTTCTTTGAAGACAATGAATCCATAATGAGACTAAACTACTATCCCCCCTGCCATAAACCGGAGTTAGCATTGGGAACCGGGCCGCATTGTGACCCAACCTCCCTTACCATTCTCCACCAGGACACCGTCGCCGGACTTCAGGTCTTCGTCGACGACCAGTGGCGCTCCGTCGGCCCCAATCTCAATGCCTTCGTCGTTAACATAGGAGATACCTTCATGGTACGTAGTCACATCATAACCAACATTTATGTTTATATATTATGTACTTATTATTATGTCCAAAAGTTATAAGGACTTGGTAAGTTTTTACCAATCTTGGCCCAACAATTCTCCAGCCATTAGATGCTAGACTGGCCTTTACTGTCTCTGTCCAACAATTTCCCTCCTAGCACCAACTGATAATATGTTATTGCTGAAACTAGAATTAGTGATCTGATCCTAATTACCACTCAGGGCAAAAGCTATAGTTGGTAGCTTTTTCAGATCAGAACCCCATAATTGATATAATTAATTGTCACCAGATGCTAGACTTGATCTTTACTTACCTCCGGCCAACAATATTGATTCTCAAATCTTATTATTATTTTTATAAAATGTCTGCAGGCTCTGTCGAATGGGCGGTACAAAAGTTGCTTGCACAGAGCGGTGGTGAACAGCCGGAGCGCTCGGAAGTCGCTGGCGTTCTTCCTGTGCCCGAGGAGGGATAAGGTGGTGGCGCCGCCGGAGGAATTGGTGGATTCCGACAACCCAAGAGTTTACCCGGACTTCACTTGGCCAACTCTGCATGAATTTACTCAGAAGCATTACAGAGCCGACATGAACACTCTCCAATCCTTCTCAAAATGGCTTCAACACAAGACAACCTAAATCTTATCACATCGGAATTGAAGATTGTCGTTATTAGGCCCGCGAAAATGGGGAAGAAAAGATGAAGCCAATTTATGAACAGATATGAATATTCAAACTTCATATATGTTCATAATATATATATAAAGGCAAAAATATTGAGGAAAAAAAGAAAAAGAAGAAAAAAAAAAACAGGCTTAATCGCCTCTTATTTATCTGTTTTTTTTTCCCCCTCTTTTTAAATAATAAATAAGCTAGGAGTTATAAACAAAAAAAAAAAAAGAAAAAAAAAAAAGCCAAAGAAAGTACAGAGAGACAATGAAAGAATAATGAGGTTGTATTATGAAGCAGTTATATATATAATATATATTGACTATATACAAGGTAATTTATAACATTATTATTGGCATTCACTTCAATATATCAATCTTTTATCCCAAAAGGTTGAATCCCCAACTTCAATATCCCCTCCCCCCACTCCGATCCCGAGAAAGTATTTGGAAAAGGGTGTAAATCACGTTGACTCAATCGTTCAGCAAACATGACCAAATGTCTGTGCACATAAGGGATATATCTGTCCACTTTAGGCATAATCTTCACACTGCAGCCGTCGAGGTTCAAATTTTGATTTCTTCTCTCACATACTGCCTATTAAATCATTTGGCCTTTTGTTTGGTAGTATAGTTATAAACTTAACAACACACTCAAGTCAATCAATAAATGAGATGGACCCAAATAGTGAAAATGATCTTATACAATAAACTCCAGATATATACCAAATTAACCATTTGTAAGGGTTAATGCAATTGCAATATCAGATGCCATCATCTTTGTCTTAGATGAGATATTAATTAATAAATTAATATATTTTACATTTTTTTGTTTTTGAATTGGCATCATCTATATATTAAATGTGAAGTGTGTAGTTCCAAAAGATTATGTTCTGTGAGTTATTCAATAATTCCATGTGATGTCAACAGAGCAAAACAGATGAAATGAAGACTAGGAGAGTAACAAAAGAAATTTTTAAAAAGGGAAAATGTATATAAAATTCATGAGGAAAGCAAAGAATCCACTGAGGATTGGAATTGGTTTGATTGCAATGGTCCTTAACGGATTGTTGTGCAAGATGATTTTTGGCCTTATTATTCACATTATTATGCATTATCTTATTATACCTGGAGATTTGGATTCTTATGCAACCAAATTAAATATTAAATTCCTAAACAATTCAACACTTGGGATATTGTCCTCTTCTTTGTCTTTGCATGCTTCTAACATTCTTCCCATCATATATTAATATTATATTATGGGGTACGTGTTTGGCAAATAACTGTTAGTTGATCAATTGGGTTAGTAAGTTTGAGTAGTTGGTAGCATTAGTTTATTATAAAAAGATGTTTGGTAAATTAGTCGTTAGCTGATAGCTGATTATATTGAAAATGACTTTTTCAAATTAAAAAGCTGATTGAAAAAATTGTTTTGAGCAGATTTTTGAATTTTAGCATTTTAGAGTAATAAGCTGCTACAAAAAGTTAATTAACCAAACACTTATATTCAATCTTTAACTAAACCAAACATCTAATAGTGATCAAATAAATAAAAATTGATTGATAAGCTAATTATGTTACCAAACACGCATATATATATATATATATATATATATATATATATATATATATATATATATATATATATATATATATATATATATATATATATATATATATATATATATATATATATATATATATATATATATATATATATATATATAAACACTCTCCTCCACTAAATCCATGCACCCCTCTACCTAGCTTTTTATTTATATTTTGTATATTTCTTTTTTTACATTTTCTTATGCTTTTTTTTTTTTTTTTTTTTAAACTTTAAAACTCAGTAATTATTGTCGTTTTTTAATATGTTGCTGCCACACTCTAGCTTCATTTAGCTCCAAAATATGCCAACTGTGCTCCAATTGGAAGTATTTCCCATGCATATGATTATTCTTTTTTTTTTTTTTTCTTTTGATTTTATTCTTTGAGATTTTAATATAGTAATATACACTACCCCTAAATTAATTGCATACTTGTTGCTATATATAAATTAACATTTTGAGGAGTACATACATGCCAAAACATACATTAGGTACTAAATCTAGGAATAAATGCCAAGAATTCTTAATTGGTCTAGATTCTACCATTAGACTGTACTTAGGTTGGGGTTATATCTATCGAGATATATTCTGTGTGTGATATATTAGTCTCGCTTTTTTGTTTTTTGTTTTTTATTTATTTTTTATTTTTTTTTTGATATGTAATTTGACTTAATTATATTAGGGTATTGTAATTCGTCACAATTAGTTCTTATTGGTTAAGGTCATATCCTTTGATGATTGGCTCCCAGCCTCCAACCTCATTAATTAAATTATATTGTAATCGGGCCTTATTATTTGTTGGGCATGAGTCAGGTTGGCCGAGTTCAGTACTTGATCATATGGCGATGTGGCTTACCATACAGTGATGTGGTTAAGCGGTTAATATCCACATATTATCATTAATTGATTTTAGGTAGGATATGACAATTATACAGTCAAAAAACTCCAATCAATCGCATGATGGGTGACCCACTGCGAAGTGCGCTTAGTGCAGCGTTGAGATCTATCATTATTTTTTTAAAGGGTTAAAAATCTTAAGTTATTTGGAAGGTTAGTAATTTAGTTATGTTGTTGCAAACTGTTTTAGTGAACCAATTATAGTGGCGGGAGCTTTTTTTTTTTTTTTTTTTGGATGGAGCTATTTTGCTGATTAACTGGAATTATATTTCAAGAAAAATAAAAAAAAATTGAATTATAATACTAAGTACAATGCGAATAGTTTTTTTAAACTTAAAAACACATATAACAATAAGTGCTCATTTGTCACCTATATAATCAAATAGTAGATCCAAATTAAAGCATTTATATAGATTGGATTTAGGTACAAATTAAAATAACAGCTATAATACTCTCTGTTCTTTAAATTATTTAATTAAATTTATTTATTGGCACATGCTTTAATATTATAGTGTACTCATTCTGTCGCA